GGGGGCCTTTTCTTGGACCAGAAAAGGTCGAAATTAATGACTCATTACACAATAAAGTTTCTCGATTTAAAAAAAGTTTTGACAAAAAGAAGCATATTGTATAAATCTTGTATGGAAGTTTTGCATTTATTGCTGTGTGATTGGATTTGAAAAAAAAATATTTTGATATTTTCAAATCTGAAATCTTTTCTTTACTGGTTCATCAACCTAGCTCGATATCTGAGGGAGATATCATCATTTTCGGAGATCCCTGACAAGGAGGGGGGGGAGGAGTGAAAAAATGGTATTTCACCCCCCCCCCCCCCCCCCCCCCCAGTAAAATCAGATTTAACCTTATCGTCAGCCTCTGGGCTTCAAAAACTTCTTTAATTTAGGTATGGGGGAAATTGGAGCTCAAGATTATTTAAACTCAGCGGTACTCCGAGCTGTTGAAGCTTGTTTAGGATTACTGCTTCCAATTTTAGCTTACTGCCTTCTTCCTCCATACAGGTAAAAAATAATCTATCAGAATTTTTCTTTGGCTCTACTTTTTCCTAAGGTAGATAATCTTTCTTTCAAACTCGTTACCAAATTTGCCAGACAAATGGTTGTGATTCTGATACGGATGATTTTCAAAAATTTGCTTTTCTGGTTTCTTCAAATCCTTTTTTTAGTTTGGAAGGTTCTACAGTAAACAGTAAAAACCCTGTTTTATTCCTAACTCGGAACAAAGAAACATAAAGAAAACTTCCAAGATTTAGCATTTTAAGTAAATGAATTCACCTCAAACTCATCTTTGTGGTTGAATGTAACAAGGTCCATCACCGGACATCCTTACATCCTTCTGAAAATGATTCACACTTAAAACCTCGTTTGAACCCTTTTTATTCAGTCAATATCATGATATAATTTTCCTATACTGGGTTGAATCTAAAGACTTCATATACCTGGGTTACTTTACCCTATACATTATACCTCTGAATTCTGGCAAATATAAACCTTTATTTTATATGTTCAACGAGACTAAAACATTTTATGGATTCTGTTTATACCATTTCTCTGGAGAATGAATCCAGAACCTTATCAATAAAAAGCAAGTTTTAATATTTTTATATTCATATCAATGTTAATTGTTGAATTAATTTTATTGGGTAGGTTTCATGCATCATGTGTATTTTATGAATGTAGTTTTCTGACCCACTTTTATTTTTTTATTTTCTTATCAGTGTAGTGTTCAGGTCAGACTGACCGCATTTCATATACGGTGGACCAAATACATTCTTGAATGTAAACTCACTAGCACTCATATACTTGTGTATATAAATCATCAAAAGCTAGTGTTACCAACATGAGCAATAAAACTAAAATCAATACAGACTTATCAAAATCTGTGATCAACCAAGGATTGGGTGGTGAGAGTTCTGAGTGGATAGAAGGAAGAAAGGATAAAAGTGTTAGAGGAGAAGTCTAAAGTGAACGTAAATGGTGAGTTAAAGCTAGATTGGTCGGAAAACAACGATGTTCTCAATGCTATTCTGAAGGCAGTGTTAAAACCTGTTATCTCAGGACGAGACTAGTTAAGGATTTGGAGGAGAAAAATAGGGCTCAAGCAGATCTCCTTAGTTTGAAGGTGATTTGATAATTACCAGTCCTGAAGGGATATTCAAGGTCAGCTTTGTCAAATATAGGGAAGAATTGTTGAAAGAGAAGAAATCTGTCACAGATCATGCATGTGAATTGCTTTGACGCAAATATGACATCAAAGTTCCCCCACTAATATATCTCTGCTTGTCATCAAATGCAGAGCAAAAATATATTAATAAAAATATAGAATAGGGAAGAGTGATCTGTTTGGGAGAAACTATCCAACCAGATTAAGAAAGGAGGGAGGGAAGAAGAGAACATCTATGCCAACTACATGATGACAAGCAAGAAAAATAGCATTTTGTTTGAACTGAGAGCGCTGAAGAGAGAAGGAAACTGAAGAAGATATTCTCTGATGGAAACGGGAAAATATCAATCACAGTAAATGAAAATAGCACCAAGGATCCCATCAGCTTTGTTGTTGAGGAGAAGTTTGGAATCTGTAAAACCATGAGAATCATGGAAAACAAAGATCTAGTTAAAAATGTCAAAGCTAAATAAATAGTGACTTGTAACAGTGATATACCAAATATGTGTTTTTTTTTTAACATTGAGTTAGTGAGTTATTTGTATTATAAAATCGGTTATTTTTTTATTACTTAATTTTCTTATTAACAATCATAGGCGGTTTAAGGGGGGTGGAAGTCCATTACCCCCCCCNATTTTCTCATTTAAGTATAGTTTTTATTCATTCTTCTATATAAATAACCAAGTTTACTTGAAGGTGACAGCATCATAAAAATAAATTTTGAGTAAGATATCAATTATCATGTTTCTACATATTAAATCCCTCCTCCATAAAATACATCCGTACTTTTTCCAGTACCCGGCATATCTCAGGAATATGCACATTACTAAAAAAGAGGCCTTGGTATCGACCACTGAAAGTTTAAAACTAAAACTTTGTGATATAAATATTGCCAGCTCAATACAGTGCTCTCGCCAGTTTGGCAGTTTATAATGTGAAGCATCTTTGGTATTTTTTTATATGAACGCTATATGGATAATTTATATGTTTTACTATTAATTTACTAGACTAACATGATTGATATGTTATGTTAAATTGTTATATTGTTATGGTTTCGCTTAGATACCATTTTTGCTAATTAAAAAGTGATTTTGCACTAGATTTTCACAATGTATTCTTGACATTTTTTTACATGCTCATCATAACTGTTCTTGAATATGTTTAAAGATTTAGACTCCTTTATATAGTCCGGCAAACTGTTCCATGGGTTTATCACTCTAGGGAGGAAAGGTGCCACAATGTCTAACATACAGAAAACACAAATAAATCATGATCCAGAATAATGTGTCTACTAAGCATGTACAAAAAAATCGTATTTTTGATCTAAAATTTACTTTTTAAGATTCTATTTCTCAAAACAATACTCATAATTGTCAATACTTTGAAGAGCTTGAGTTAAACAATTAACGTAAAAGTCTGGAAACAAATAAATTTAGTATTTTATCCTTAAACATCCAAAGTCTACCAGGTAAATTTGAAGAATTTAAAACTTTTTTTAGCCACAAACTGGTTATATTCTGACCATCCTTAAAACTGTAAAAATTGTTCCTGTCTTCAAGAATGGATAATCTGATAAATTTACAAATTGCAGACCAATTAGTTTACTTTCATCTTTTTCTAAACTTTTCGAAAAAGTAGCGGGAAATCAAAACATGAAATATCTAAATAAGTTTAAACTTCTATGAGCACCAGTATGGGTTTAGGGCAAAGCATAACACTACCCATCCTTTAATCCACTTTCTAGATAATTTACCAAGCCTTAAATAAACCGGAATCTGATTATACTTTACGAATTTTCATTGATTCAACTAAAGTTTTTGACACCTATGATATAGATTTACTACTCAAAAAGTTAGATCATTATGGGTTTAGACGGATATCCAATCGGTGGTTTGAAAATTATTTAAATGGAAGAAAGCAGTTTACTTCAATCAAAGGTGTAAATTCCTCTCTTGAAAATATACTTTGTGGAGTTCCTCAGGGGGTCAATATTAGGCCCAATTTTATTCTTAATTTTCATAAATGACCTTCCAAACGCATCTAAACTGTTCACTATACTTTTTGCTGATGACACAACATTACAATATTCTTCTAACTCTAAAAATTATATACGATTTTTCAAATTTAGAGCTTTCAAAAATTGCAGACTGGTTCAAAGCGAATAAACTATTATTAAATGCCTCTAAAACAAAGTATATACTTTTCAGAAAACAAAAGTTCTGGTAGGTGACTCACTTAAACTTTTCATCGAAATTAAGGAAATAGATAGAAAAGGTAGTGGTTTTAAAAATGTAAAGTTTGTGGGAATACATCTTGATGAAAGCCTAACCTGGAATTACCATCATAAAGCTGTAAAAGTCAAACCATCTAGCGCAGTGTTTGCAATTGCATTATCAAATATAAGAAATCTACTTCCAAGTAACATTAAGCATACTCTTTATAACTCATTATTTCAATCATTTGTAGAATATGGAATTTCATGAAGCCTAGGGAGGGGGGAGAAATGAAAGTCTTGAAATCAAAAAAAATAACTTTCTCCAAAAACGTTCAGTTAGAATTATTGAAAATGCAAAAATAGCTTTACATACCGATCCTCTACTCTTTACGTATAAAATCCTTAAGCTAAATTATTTGACTGAATTTAATCAAGCAACATTTATGTCAAAATACACGAAAAACCTTCTACCCTCCTTATTTAACAACATTTTTAAAAAATTCGGAAATTTTGAACTATCAAATTAACATTCTGAATACAGGCTCATTATAATATCATCCCTCTCATGGAATTCTTACGATATAGAATAACCTGCCACTTGATTTAAAAAGAAGTGCCTTGTTAGGCACGTTTAAAAGTTTATTAGAAATGTTCTCAAAGTGCAATTAACCTTCTTGTTATTCTTGCAAAAAATGGATATAGAACTTTGTAGGTTTTTGTACATTTTTGTAATCTTTTTCTGTTATAAACGTTAAAACTGAAAAATCAATTATTTTGTTACACTGCACCTTGGTCTCTCTAAATTTAGCTAGTAATCCTTAAGGGTCTGACGTGACTTATTGTAAATTTTTACAACCTAGTGATATTCATCATATTGTAAACGTTTTAATATTTATAATTAGGCGGGGATAATACCAAAAACAGCAAATAGCAAATCTCCACCTAATTGCTATAATACATACATATAGTAAACAATGTAAAAATATATTTTTGCCTGTAACATTATAACTTGTATTTTTATTTTTAACAATAAACTATATATAATCTTATCTGAAACTTTGCTAACTTGATCAAAAAATTAAGCAAACAAAATATTATATTTATCTTCCAACTTGTTTAATACTAGGAAATTTAGTTCCCAACCAGACAGTAGTGATTTATACCAGAGTAAGAGAGATATATACAGGTAAACTCTTACTTAAATATAAGTCAAAACTGCTTTTACTAATAAAGAATTGTTCATACAAGGGTGTCCGAAAACGGTAAAAGGAGATTTATCACCTCATTTGAAATCAGATTTTCAGATTGATGGCCATTTTTATATCCAACAACATGTTGACATTTGGCACCAGCAAAAAAATAGAAAGTACAAAATTAAAAGCATCATCCATGAAAAATATATTTTTTTAAATCAAAACTCATTCAGTATTAATAAATTAAAAAAATAAATCATTAGGAAGGTACATTTTTCAATTTCAAAACATGTTGATTTGGGTATCAAAAGATGTGTCTCTATATATTTTTGAAAAGCCCTTAACCCAGCGAATTCAGATATGCAAAATTATTTGCAAAATTGTTAAAAACTATTTTTGTATTCAAGGAAATCTGAACATGTGCAAATTTCCTTTAAAGATGTCTGTCAAAAAAACAGTGCTTTCTGCCACCTTTTGTTAAAGGCTTTTTAAAGAGCTATAGAATACTGAGATCCAATGACTAAAAGTAGGTTTAAATATAGATTTAGTCTGGTATACAGAAGTAAAGTAAGGCTATACATCTCTCATTTATCTCCCAACAGATATTCAACATTTCAGTAATAACATTTTTCTTTCAAAGTTATTGCTATTTTCGAAGAATTAAACTTCCAGTGCTTTTGATGAGTTCTTTTAAGCTCTGTCACTCCTGTCACGTCTGTTTTAGTTTGGGCCGTGACTGTATTATCTTGTATTTGTTTGTTTCAATATTTCTGTAATAATTTATTTGCTAGCAATACAATGCTCTCAATGACTAGATTTGCAAGAAAAAGTTTAAAATATAACTTTTTGCACAAGTCAAAACTTCAAAACGAAGCAAAAATTCATAAAATGACCAGACATTTGAAATATAACCAGATATCTGCCATTTTTAATTTTAATCGTTTGAACTATATGTTAATTTGAACTACTAACAGAGCATCATATCCTGTAGTTGAAATTGGAATTATTTTCTTTGAACTTTGCAGCAGTTTAAAGTTTGAGATAAGATTTAGAGGAATATTACCAAAAATACAGTTCAAATTCGCAAAGAAATAATTCAAATTCAAACAAAAAAAATACAAATGTACACAAAAATTGTGTAAATGTACAAAACAAAGTTTTTATTGTACATAAAAAAATAGTTCAAATGCACACAAAGCCACATAATTACAGCCTCATGAGTCCAGGCAACACCTGGTATTTTTGCTAGTGATATATTGAATCAGTTGGACAATTTAAGAGAATCTGAATTAAAGTCAAAACCTGGATCTGAGACGAAATAAGGTTGTTAAACACAACTGTAGCAGTCTTTGTCTTGCAAAATGCGTTACCTGTTCAAGAGTTTATAGATTGGTAATTTTCATTTATTTCATGTCTCTGATATTGATGTAGTTCTTGCGCTATATCCTGTGAAACTGTTTCTTTCATTCACAGTAGAGGAAACATTAATTTTTTTCCACATCGGCTCTTTATTCCTGTGGGTATATCAGCTCCCTTAATCAATAAACGTTATTTAATATATTACTAGATAATAGTATATACTAGGTTGTATGCACATGTTTTTAAAATTCCGATGTACACATTACTACATCTTATCACCTTTTCAGCTTTCCTACAAATTCCCTCTTGCCAATAAGAATAACTATTGAGCCCTAAATCTAGCTTTGTTTTCAAAATATTCAAACTCTTTAAAAACTTTCAAATCTAACTTGATCTAACTTAATCTTTTTTAGGCAAAGCTTAACACCTGGAGAACGATTAAGCCAAGTTAGTATGGATTCAGTTTAGAAAAAGAAGATTTATACATACTATGTTCAAGAATCTTGTAATAAACATCAATAGTTTTTAACTCTCCTATTTATGTTCTGGAAAACATTACTATTTACATAACATTTATTGACACTTCACAGTTTTTAATTAATCCAACAAATCAACATTCAACATAGCAATTATATTATTAAAATGGCTTTATCATCAATTTTGGTAATAATTTATAAAACCTATAGTAACTGGTCTTTTGCATATTCGGTTAATATTTGTCAACCTTGTTTAGAAGTCGGGCATGGGCATACATTGCATCGATGAAAAAAAAACTCAAAATATATTCAGTAATACAAAATGAGAACTAAATAAAAAGATTAAGCCACAGTAATAACCAGACAACTGCAGAATAGGAAGACGACATTAAGACAAAACAGAAGTGCATTTGATGTTGTTACAAAGCAAAAAGTTTAATTAGTAAGTGGAATGGGCCTGTTTACACTGCACAATTGCTGTGCCTCATGTTCATTGGACTATTTAAAGTCATAACTTTAGTCTAAAAGTCGACTTCCAATTCCAGAGTTTTCTGTATATATAGCACTAAATACATATAAAATATAGATACGGCCGGGTATGTGTTAATATTCTTTAATTGGTTTAGGGAATCTGTAGATAATTCCTATTTTATCTAGTAAAAACTGCTATTTTCATCCTCTAGACAATTAAAAATATAATAATAATGACAACCGTATGCATGGTCAAAACTTAAACAAACAAATTGTAAACATAGCAGAATTCGTCACTGAATTCCCATATTTATAGGGACACCCTGTATGAAATCAGTAATTTTTTATATTTATCAAATATTTTTTTATTAGCTGTAGAAATTACACAGATAAGACAAATGGTATAATTTACTTACAGGTCATACACTTTTGTATATGTTTTTTTTGATCTTGATACATGCTCATTTAAACTCTTGTTCGTGTATCAAGCAATATATTGTACGTACTCTGAAAGGTTTAAACAAATTAGTACACATATTTAGTCCTTTCTGTGGAATCAGTGATACATTATTTCATCAATATTTAAAAATTTTTTGGAACAGGAAGACAACTTTTAGACTAATTGTGCAGTGTGCACAGACCCATTTCACATAACAACTGATTTTTAAGGTTTTTGTAAAACCATTTGCTTTATAACAATTCATTACATATGCAGATAATTCCTGTCGTCTTAATATTCCACAGTTTTAAGGGTCTCACTGTAGTTTATATCTTTAATATTTTAAGTAGCATTATTTGTTAGTTTTTTTGAACTGGAGGATTTAATGAAATTCTCATAAAAAAAAACCAAAACTGAAAATTACGAATTTTTTAATTACAATTTTGCAAATATTCTGTGATTCTGTGATTCAATCTTAACAAAATTCTAGAATTTGATAGAAATAATATATATACACATTTTTGCTTTTCTGAACCTTTGATTTTGCGAGAAAAAAAAGGTTCATTGTATTTTTTGAACCATTCGATTACAAAAAAAGTATAAAATTTCAAAAACTTTAAAAAGTCCCCCCCCTCGAATTCTTATACAATTAATTCCCTGATTCGTGCAGGGGCAAATCTGTAGGCTTAGCATTATGATAGTGGAATCTAGCTTCTATGTTTATAGTTTTTTTCTTGTATCTCAAGATGAAAGACGACTTTTTATAATCGTCTGTAATCATCAATATTTTTTGAGGAGTGTGCACACTATATTTTAAAATTGATTAAATAGTATAGATGGGGGGAGGGGGGGGACAAAACAGCTCCATTTAAATAATTTAATTAGACTAAGAGTTCTCTTTGTTATTATAAGAATTTGGTATATTATTGAGCACAGAGCAAATCCTTCAGCTTCAAATTCTGAAAATACTCTCGGTACTTCCCTGCGGATACCAAAAAAAGATGATTTAAAAGTTTTTAAATAAGAGGAAACCGATCAACAAATTGAGGTTTTTAAAGTTTTTGAAAAAAACGGAAACAGATCAAAAACATGAGGAAACGGACCTAAAATTTGAGGAAACCGATCTACAAAACGAGATTTTTAAAGTTTTTGAAAAAAACGGAAACGGATCAAAAATATGAGGAAACAGACCTAAAATGTGAGGAAACCGATCAACAAAACGAGATTTTTAAATTTTTTGAAAAAAGCCGAAACGGATCAAAAATATGAGGAAACCGATCAACAAAACGAGATTTTTAAAGTTTTTTAAAAAAAGCGGAAACGGATTAAAAATATGAGGAAACGGACCTAAAATTTGAGGAAACCGATCAACAAACGAGATTTTTAAAGTGTTTGAAAAAAGCGGAAACGGATCAAATATATGAGGAAACGGACCTACAAATATGAGGAAATTGATCAAAAAAAAAGAGGAAACCATTCAACTCTAAATATTGAGAAACGGATACAAAATATTCGGAAATCCCTCAACAATTCTGAACTTTTGAGGGATTTCCTCGAATTTCTAAAAAAACGGAAATTCCTCAAAAATAATTTTTGATCCGTTTCCGTGTTGAGGCGTTTCCATGTGACCGACTAATAAATAACTAAACATGTTCATTGAAATAATACAGTTACAGAGTGTTAAAAAATCTAAAATGAAATATTGTAAAATGGTATATTCTTTGTTTTATAGATTATGAAATCTTCTCTGTAAATTATTAAAGTTTTACTATTGAAAAAAGGTTTGAAAAATTATACCATTAATCTAAAGACCGACTAATTCTTTGATTTTATTTGTGAATTGTTTCAAAGTTTACAGACAAGTTTTGAAAATTTGATTATTGAAATGGCAGTTTATAAAATGTATTTAGGAATTGAGTCTTTGCCACAAACTCTGATTTTTGATTTTCTATTTCTATATCTTTGCAACTTAATCAGGGGCGGATACAGAATTTAAGTGAGGGGGGGGCAAGATTTTTTAGGAACAAAAAAATTACTAATTAGGAACAAAAAACCGTGCTGGAGGCGAAAATTTTTTTTGACTTTAAGACTCAAAAAGAGTCAAAATTAATGACTAAAGACTAAAAAACTAGATTTTTAAGTTTTAGGAACAAAATTAAAGGATTAGAACAGGAATTTCGGAACAATTAAAAGATTGTTCAGGAATTAGGAACAAAAATAAAGGATTAGGACAGGGACTTAGGAACAATTAAAAGATTGTTCAGGAATTAGGAACAAAAATATAGGATTAAGACAGGGATTTAAGGTGGGTCGGACACAGTATTAGGAACAGGAACAATAATAAGAACATTAGCAATTTAAGAACAAAAAGAAATTCCTAGTTATACTTAAATGCATGAAAATTAGGAACAATCTTACAATTTTGATAAATGAGTATTGATTAAGGAATATTACTAGATATGAACAATATTATAACTTAAGTCTAGTTTCTTACAAATTTCTAGTTCTAAATTTATCGTTAATAATAGCACTTATCAAATTGGGAACATTTTTTGCCTCTAAATCACAGGGGGGGGGGGCTACGCCCCTCCCTGAATCTGTCAGGGGGTGGCGAATGTCCCCCCCCCCTGTATCCGCCCCTGAACTTAATGTCGAAGACCATAGATATTTCAAGCAAAGAATTCTAGTAGATCAAATATTTAAAATATCACAAGTTTACATACACTATCACGTTGCAAAGATTTAGAAATAAGAACATTTTTGTTTGCGGCAAAAACTCAATCCCCTTTGTATGAACATCAATGTTAGTGTATTTTTGATGACTTCTATATCATCTTGGTTTCAAGCGGGAATATTATGTAAATTTAATTTTGTAGTATCAGGGTTGAAAAAACTACTAGTCTCCGGATTTCCAAAATGATCTAAAATGTCTACCATTTGTTAACCTTTAAAATTGACGGAGATATTAGATTTTTTCAAGATTTCAGTCAATTAAAATCAACAAAACTGTTCAAACGTTTAATATGTCAGTCAATTTTAAAGATACAAAGAAGATAGACCACATTTTGGAAAGCTTATTAGCCGCCCAATCTTTTTTTATGCACTTTATGTCATTCATAAATTATCGGAAACCAAAGACGATATTTTATTTTCAATGAAATTTAGTACTAACAATGTAGTTGAAAAGTCTAAGACTAAGTGTATAATCTTTACAAAATATCCAATCGATACTGTAAACATTCTGCCCATTTATCTTAATGATGTACCATTACCATATGTTGATCATGTAAAACATCTTGGATGCACGCTACAAACAGATAATTCATTTACTCGTGATATAAATCAGAAACATGGACAGTTTATTGCTAAAAGTCATTCCCTGAATCAAGAATTTTACTTTTTATATTCAACAGTTTTGATTAAATTATATAACCTTTATGCAACGAGTATTTATGGATCCAATTTATTGAATTTATTTTCGAATGATGTGTTCAGAATTTATTCGTCTTGGAACACTGCAGTTAGAATGTCATAGATATTTTATCGAACTATTGTCAAAGTCATCTCATTTAATGACCATGTTCTGCAGTAGATTTGTTTCATTCATTTCTTCATTAGAAAATTCGTCAAAAATTTGTATCAGACTTTTGATAAATCTTTTAAAATTTGATCAAAGGTCAGTAACTGCAAAAAATCTGAGAAATATTGCAGACAAATGCAACAAAGATTTGAATATTATCGACAAACGTATTGTAAAAAATTGTATGATATTTCAAGAAATACCCTTGGAAGAAGAATGGAGGATTCCATTTTTAAATGAATTAATTTCTGCAAAAAACAATAAGATTGTTATCAATGGAGTTGACCAAGCTGAGATTGACGATATTATTAATTTTATATGCACGACCTAATTACAGTATGATTTTGTTTCTTGTATTTGTATTCATTTTTGATATATACTCTTATAGCTCTTTTTTCTTCTGTTTAATTGTACCAATTATTTAAATTGTGTACGTTTACGAAATAAATAATAATAATTCAAGTCGTCTCTCAATTCCCATGCTCTTTGGGGCACCTTGTGGCTGAATCTTATACAATCTTCATAATAATTGTAGATATATTTTTTGGGAAAATTGGAGCGATTAGAGGATATATCTACATTCAACAGTACACCAAAAAGATAAAGGATAGTACATTCAATACAGCTTATAAAAAGCCAAAAGTTAGTAAAAATTTAAATCTAGTCTAACTGAAACGCCTGTCTCGAATCCCTTCCCCCCCATGAAATCATTTTTTAATCCCCTGATCTAAAAGTCATAATATTTGTTCTAATGAGAATTATTATTAATCCCGAACGTACCTCAATTGGTTTAATATCAGGATCAAAATCATTTAAAAGAGGAACGTTAAAATAGAAAACTTTTTTTACAAATCGTTAAAGACCTTTTTTTGAAAAATGTCATTACTAGTTTTTAGTTGATAAGGTTGATCATTAATAGATTATTAAAGGATCATTAATAGATTATTAAAGGATCATTAATAGATCCTGAATAGATCATTTTTGTGGCTTTATGTAGATTTACAATAAATGAAAAAGTAGGAATAAGAATGGTTGGAGTGAAAAGCGGAGGAAAAAGGTAGTTGGAGAGGTGGTGTGGAGTTTCGGAGGTCTCCGGTATAAGGTAAATTAGGCCTCAGTTGGTTCAAGTCCATTAGTTTAGTAACATTTAATTTAATATATCTTCTAACGCTCAATTCTCTGTAATTTTATAATTTATTAATCTATTCTCACCCAAAGCCGGTGACAAAATATTTGATAAAATACTTTTTTTTAAATCTGAACATCAACATAAATTTAAGATTAGTAAAATGACGAAAACAGATTCTGAAAATGGCAGGCTGGAATTAGAAAATGCAAACGACAGAAGTATTATTTCTGAATATCCAAATGGAAAAATGAAATCAGAGTTGCATAATCATAATCCTTCTTCTGTCAGGTATTGTAAATCTAGTTAAAAATATTTTTGGCACTAGGCAGACTGTAGGTAAGAAAATTTACCTTTGAAGGGAATGACCGGCTATGTAAGGTAGTTGAACTGAGTGTGCAGTGTTGTGAAAAACTTCTTTCGGATTCATTCGAGACATATTAAACTATTTAAAGATCGGTAAATCCTGAGTTTGAGCGCAAATTCGACGTTAAAACTCCTACTTTGGGGTGGATACGTTTTCAGAATTAGTTTTTTTTTAATTATTAAATAATGACAACGAAAATTAAAGTAAAAAATGTACAGTAATGATTAGGAACATATTTCTCAAAAAAAATTTGTCAATAAATCATTGCTAAAATCGATTATTTCGTTTTCATTTTTATATTGAATTTCTAATTTTCTTCGAATTTATTCACAGATTTCTTCAAATTCTTCAAATGTCGTCTTTTCAATAATAATTCTAGAAAATCTGCGAAAATCTTTGTGAATAATGAGAAACCAGAATAATGAGATAATAGAAACTAATAATTGAACAAGATTACTTATTTTCGATGATAAGATTAATTTTTATTTTCTCAACATGTTCCTATACATGGCGTCTGTAGTTTATTGTAGAACTTTTTTACATTTTATGTCGTAGTTATTTAATAATTTAAAAAAAACTAATTCTGAAAACGTATCCACCCCCGAAGTAGGAGTTTTGAACGTCGAATTTGCGCTCAAGCTCAGGATTTACCGATCTTTAAAAAGTGTAATATGTCTCAAATGAATCCGAAAGAAGTTTTTCACAATACTGCATACTCAGTTTAACTACCTTACATATCTCACTATTTCCACATATCTCACTATTTCCACATATCTCACTATTTCCACATATCTTACTAACTTTCCATATTAACATGAAAGTCAAAAATCAAATTTTGTTTGACCATAACGCAAAGAAAAGTTTTGTTTCCATGGGGCTCTTGAAAGTCTACCGTTTAAAAATTAATTGTGATTTGATTAAATATTGTCGCGTAACAAAAGGATTTCTATTTCAAAGTTCAAGTTATAAAAATTTTAACGTTGTATAGTTAAAAAATGAATTACTCTTTATGAAAACGTTTTGGAACGTTTTCCCTTATAGTATAATGAAAAGTTCAACATTAAAGAAATGAGTTATTATTTTAATAATCAGGAAAAGAAAGCTTTTTATAAAGAGTATAAATTTTAATAATGTAACGTATACCATTTAAAAAAAAGTAATTCTGTTAATCAAAATGGTTCATAACTTTTCTCTGAATACTAAATTGATTAATCTAACGTAAGATATATGTCTGATGAAAATATTGTTCATAAAACGTTTTAATTTCAAAAGTGTAACAATAATTCTGCCAATCAAAAAATTTCAAAACGTCTCTAATCTATGAATGCAAGAGATTCGACTGATGATTTTGACAGCAAAGACTAATGGTTTTTCATTTCAAATTTAAAGGAAATGAGTTTATGCCACAAACTCTAATTTTCATTTACTTTATCTTTGCAACCCGATGTCGTAGACCATTAAAATTAAAATATAAAAGTTTGAAAAGATACAAGGATTAGTATATTTGAAAAAAAAACTTAGTTCCTTTCTAAAGTGTAACGAGTTTTTCGTAACATGTTATTAATGAAAATTTAAATCTTATAAATGTTTCTTGGACTTTAAAGGTTTTTGATTTGCCATTGTTTAATGAAACCTACTAAAACTCTGGAAAAGACAGACGACATTTAAGAAATTTTACTTATGCATTTTCTTTTATAATAGCAAAAAATCAACTTATTAAGTAGAACGGGTCTGTGTACACTGTACACAAGACAATTGCTGTGTTTCATGTTTATTTGACTAATTGAAATCATAACTTCAGTTGGGATGGGTCATGTTTTCGGTTAAAAAACTTAAACATAAAGATACTTACTAAAATGCAAAAATATTTTATCAATTGGAAAATGCCTGTTATGTTTTATTCATCAATAGACTTTTATGAAACTTTAGAAAAGAATGAAAACCTGATTTTTTAATCAATTTGTTAAAAAAAAAACATTTTAAATTTTATTTCGCGTTGTTTGTGTTAAAAAAATTTCACATTACTTAATTTTATATTTTTTAACCCCAAACATGAACCCTGAAAACATTTTAATTGTGGTTTGTAAACTAAAGCTAATGCCGCTTTTTTACTCACTTTGTTAGCAACATAAAAAAAAACACAAAAAGAACTAAAATTTCACCACCAATTTTAATTTTCTGATTTCTACATCTTTGCAAGATGGTGTAGGATTTTGCTATGTCAACTATGACTTCTGTTAGATGAGAAAGTCAATTGAGCTGTTGTCACAAACTTATATTTCTAAACCCTATATCTTTGATTTGCTACCCAATGTTGCAGACCTTATATATGTCAAATTATGAAAAACGTATAATTAATTAGAATTACTGTTCTTCATGCTAAAGTGGTTTGCCTTGCCGAGTGTCCCTAATCATGTCTATTTTTTAAGCTCGTCAAATCCACGATGATAATTTCAAGTGATCCTCCATTTAAAGAGGGATATGCGCGATTCCCAATGGTAACGTGTATACTTTTATCTAATTGATGATTTGAAAATACCAGCGTTTTCCTATCTTGTAAATGTATGCTAGACATAGCACTCCATAAATGGAAGGTCACTTGAAATTACGTCTCTAGTCTAGTCCCTTTGAGTTGAAAGTCTAATGCTAAGAACTTTCATTCACAAATTTTAAAAACCGTTATTGATAATAATATTATAATAACATTTTTATATTGCATATTCTTCTACACATTCTCTAAAAAAGTTAACAATACAACAGCATGCTGTTGTATTGTATTGCAACATACAGGGTGAGTAAAAAGAGGATTAAAAAAGCACAATTATTTTTGCATTGTTCATGTTTTAGGATGAAAAATACTAAAGTAGAATGTAATTATCACGGCAAATATCTTGTAATTCTTTCATTTAGAAACAAAATTATTTTTAATGAAGTGTAATGTAAGAAACGTTAAGGCTTGAACATTTTAATACAACGCAACATATAGAACCTTTTTTCAAATCTTTCTTAAAAACGAAACGAATAACAGTTTTGAATGTCAGTTGTAATAAAGTGTATCAAAAAAAGTTTTCACAATAACGTTTTGATAAATCGAGACGTAGGAAAAGTTGCATTTTAGTAAAATTTCTAAGCGTAATTAAAAGAATTTATAATGGAAAAGTTAAGATAAAACGTAACGTTAACAAAAAATATTCTTTGCACTGAATTGCATAGCAACGTGCAGAACTATGCCCGAATGACAATTTATTAAAGCAAAACTTTTGTCACCTTTTAGTTTTCAAACCAAGTGAAAGTGTAACGTAAGGTCTCTGAAAATTTTTACCTTGCATGAAAGTGGATCGTTAAAAAATTGTGGTTATATTATAAAAGGTTTAACGCGGGAAAGTTTTTTAAAACAGGAAATGCAAAAGTGTAACGGAGCTTACTTTTTTTGCACTAACATTTTCTAAAACTTAACGTTGTATAAGGTAATCAAATGCAGAAAATTCATTACGTAACGTTATTACATGCCATAAAAATCATGATGTACAACGTAACCATTCAAACGTTTATACTTTTATGAAAACTATCGTAACGAAAGCTAAAATCTAGAAAAATCAAAACATTAACATCTCTAGGTTGTATAAGCTGTTGCTTCATCTGCTGTGAAGGAGTAAAATTTTGCAGATTTAACCTCATTCAGAATAGATTTTAGAACAAAGTCTTCACCTTTATTCAAGCAATAATTTACTTTATCATTAAGTAGTTCATGTTTTCAGCCCCCTCCCCTCACCCCACAAAAGAAAAAACTTAGCTTAAACTTTAATTAGTTATATTGCTATTGCTATTCGGAATTTTCCAGGAGGACCAGGAGACTATTGTATTTGATCCCTTCTTTTCAGCTTGTTTTTGAAGCATTCCTCTGATTGAATTATAAGCTCAATAAACTAACGTTTAATTATCATATTTTTTAGTTTACGATCAGAGCTCTTAAATTTGCTCAGGGTCAGGATTCATGAATCGCTAAATTGCAAAACGGGTTGGACTTTTTCCCCCCCCCCCTCCCCTAAAAGGGGGGAGAAAGCCTTCTAAAGGGAGAGGCATCCCCCCCCCCTTAATCAGGCTAAAGAGGCTTGCCCCCTCCCTAGTTATATGCGTATATCTAAGTTGGGCGTTCCTGTTTCTTTCCAATGCACATCCTGCAACAGAGCTAGAAAACTTGAAAACATACAGATTAATTGTGAAAAGAAATAGACATTTAAAAGACGTTGCTTATAGCAAAAATAGCGCAACAAAAGCTTTACAGCTAAATCATACGCACTATTTTGGTCTTATTAAAATTATAACAAATTGTCATCTTCTCTAATTTTTTTTTTCTCTTGAAGTTTGGAAATGTCGTCTTTCGGCATTGATTGAAGAGTTGTTTTTAAGCAAAAATGAAAAAAATATTTTCGTCTTTAAGCTTAAAATTTCTAATTTCTAATTGTGGTTTTCTATAAAAGTGACCTGCGGATTTTTATGTAACAAAGACAAACGTAATTTACTTTTTTACGTAATTTTTACGTAAAAAAGTGAATTGTACGTTCTTAGATGAAAAAACGATCGCATTATTGCACATATTAGACTTTTTAAAATGGATTCAAGATTGTCACTTGAAATTATAACGTCTGCAGTTCCTATAACCATTTAATTACTTTTTAACTGAGTATCAGAGATGTCTTTAATTCTGTATAAAATTGAGACTGTTCATTGTTCAATGTTCATATATATATATAGATTCATATATATATTATAAAGAAAATAATATTTAAATCTAATTCATGCTGCATGTACAGATATATTAGAATTATATTCAGCATTTATATTTGTCTAAAGCAAAATTACATTAAACAATATAAAAGTTTACAAACTAATACTCTTTTCTCTGGATATCGCATTTTATACTTGACAGGGTTTGCCAAAAAAACAGGTGCAATACGAGACTTTTAGCATGAGAATAGTTTAGTTATTCAGAGGTGGTTTTCAGAAATGGAGTTAGTCAAGTGTTTTTCGTTTTCTAAAAATGTGGTATGATGTGGTACTGCAAGGCTTGATAGATTTTTGCACATTGCTTTGAAACTAACACTGGGTTTGCAGAACTTATGGAGTTTGTTTAGATTTGCTTTATTTGATGGCGAGATATATCCTCTTGAGCCGACTTCATAAGGCCGGGTGAACAGACTCATCCCTATAAGTTGTTCCTATAAGTTGTTATATCTGAAATAAAATGTGCATACTTGTTGATCTTTTGAGCGTTGGTATTTTTGATATTTGTTTCCAACGGGACAGTAAGCTCAAAAATATCCATCTTTTCCTCCATTCTATCGATAATTACTAGATCTGGTTTCTCTGCGGTCACAAGGAGGTGGGGGGAAACAGTACCTCCCCCTGGAAGGGTATGGGACGGGATGTCGGCATACATCAGAAATCGGTCAATATCAATTAATCCAGTTATATATTTAATAATATTGTTGTGCCTCCAAGTATATCTTTTTTGGTGTAGTGCAACCTTGCAGCCTTTCAAAATATGGTTTGTAGTTTCTTTTCTTTACAGAGAGTTTTCAGAGATCTGATGCAGATTTTCCCAATTGTACTTCTGTTAAACTAATTTTGTACGGTTTTGTATTTATCTTTTATGAAAATCTATTTTTTAAATGTTAAAAAAATGTATTTATGTAGAAAAATCTTGTAATCATTAATCTTATGAGAAACGAAATTAGAATCAACTTTTTCTACATATTTTAGTTATTTCTTTAATATATGCAAAGTTTCTTAACTTTTTTACGCTTAATTTCTTAGCACCTAAAACAAATCTTAACTGGGTAAGTTAATTATATAAGTTTGAATTTTACATGCACATTGCACAGCTAGTATAATTTGTAACTAGGGAAGCTGGTGTAAGTAAGTCTAATTCCTCGCTAAGCAGTTTGAACAGCCAGGGATCGGTCAACTCTGGTAATGAAGATTCGCCAAGGAGAATAATGGGGATAAAGTGGACTCAGGGAGGTAAACTATATATAAATACTTTGCTTGTCTGTCTGCTTGTTTGTATCCAATAAACGTAAAAACGGCTGAACCGATCGTACCCAAATTTTTTTTGGGACCTTGCATGACTCCAGGGAAAATCCACGACACTTTTTTTATAAAATCCGCAAAATTTTTTGTTTTGTTTTACCATGTTCAAAAAGATAACATGTCCACAATGGAAATGGAAGATGGGCGCGAAGCGCCCTAATTGCCTAGTCCAATAGTCTAGTCTACTTCGTTCGTCTGTCTGTTTGCTTGTATCCAATAAACATCAAAACGGCTGAACCGATCAGACCCAATTTTTTTGTGGGACCTCGCGTTTCCCCAGGGAAGGATTAAGGATGATAGAATTTTCAAAAATTTGCCTCTATTAAAATTCTATTTTTGAAAATTTTAAAAATCGACCAAAAATTTTTATAAAATCCGCGAATTTTTTTTTTGTTCACAAAGAGAACATGTTAACAATGGAAATCCTAAAAGCCAAGTATCTGAAATTTTGCGAGAAATTTTTTTTGGCTAAATACTGTATGTAAAAATATTCAAAGTTTTTAGGACGAAGCAGACTCGGAAAAGGGACAAAAAACCTACTGGATAAATGGAAAACTCATGCCTCTAAATCTATTGACCTAAGTATATCTTATCACTCTTTGAAAATGTAGGATAAAATATTGAGCTTCCTATATATTTATCTTACATTTTAAAAATAAATTAACCATATTTTTACTGACGTCTTCTTGTCCCCAAAATACCCCATCTCTATATTTCCTTATTGAGATACTAATTCATGGCATTTCATACATTTTAGAAAGCTTAAGACTGTTATATAATAGTTTGCAACAGTAAAAAATTGCAAAAATATTAAAAAGCCTGTTTTAAAGACAAAATTGCAAAATGGGTAAATATAAAAATACCCCATTAACCTTACCGTCTCTAATTTTTCAACCTGCTCCTCACCAATATACTATGCAAACATTAAAGGAACTGAGATTTAGCCACAAACTCTGATTTTCTATACCCTGTATCTTGGCAACCCAACGTCGTAGACCGTTGATATTTCAAACTATTAATTATGTTAGACCAAAAAATCTCAGGTTGAATTACCAAAGGTCTACCCCATCAGATTGCAAAAATATAGGTATTAGAAAATTCGAGTTGGTTTCTTTAGTTTGCCCATGGTACTTAAAAATGAATTAAATTTTGAGTTGGTTTTTATAATTGTAAACAAATAAATGTTTCTATTTTTCTATTTTTATTCTTTTCCTATAAATCTACTTTGCTTGTCTGTTTGTATTCAATAAACGCCAAAACGGCTGAACCAATCGGGTCCAAATTTTGTGTGGGACCTCACTTGGACCCAAGGAAGTTTTATATAGGACCAAAATTTCAAAAGTTTGATTTTCATTAAATTTATAAAATCCAAGTGTTTGATTTTTGTACGCCACAATAAAAGTTGAAATAGAAGATTGGCGAGAGGTGCCTTAAAAGCCTTGTTGTAATAAATTGATGAAAATGTTTTTTAAGGTGGAAAAGATAACATGTTGTCAGGTAATCCGGAGCTAAATGAGAGCAAAGAAGAAGTCAATGGCGGTGACATGGAAAAGGAATCTTCATTTTGTTAAAAAGAACACATTTTCAATGGAACAATTGCTAAACATGTTTTCAAAATTATTTCTTTAAATTGGATCAAGAAACCTTTCTGTCAATTTATTTCACAGTTATATACAGGGTGTCCAACATCATTTCGGATTGTTTATGACCCTAAATTGCGATTTTCGAGAATAATCAGAAAATTTAAAAAGAATGGTACATTTTAAGAAAATGCATAAGCCTAATATAAAAATTTGCATGTAGAAAACACTAGGCTTTTCGAGTATTATCTACGTATTTTGGCAATAAAGCTTGGAGATAATCCAATATGATACAGGATGCTCTGTACGATATCTCGATATCTATCCTGATTAGTAAACATTCAGCGGCGCTGCCATCACTTGAAAAAAATTTACAATTGTTGCGCCAATTGTATTGGGGTGTTTATAATGTGATGTAAAACATTAAAAGAAAAATGACAACGACCTTTGCGTCTTATTTGTCTTTATACTTTTCAGTTCAAATTTAATGATCAGTGAGCAATAAAGAAGATGGTATTAAAAAAGCAATAGCGTCTCAATAATGAAATGATTGCAGAAGTCAACTTGGAAGGAACATGTGTGGAGCACGTTTATTCACAGAGGATATAGCGATGATGTTACAGAATCAGAACCTAAGGGAAACGTGACATAACAATAAAGAATTGATATAATTTATCAGAGGAAATTTTTATTTTATTTTTTGATACTGAGTTTTACAATAGATATGTTTTATATTATTTTTTTTTCAATCATAAACTTATGAACGCCCTTCCCCCTTCTTAAAGGGAGTGACTGGCTATGTAAAGTAGTTGTACTGAGTATGCAGTGTTGTGGTGAAACTTCTTTCGGATTCATTTGAGACATATTAAACTTTTTAAAGATCTGTAAATCTTGAGTTTGAGCGCAAAATCGACGTTCAAAACTCCTACTTTGGGGGTGGATACGCTTTAAGAATTAGTTTTTTTTTTAATTTTTAAATAACGACGACATAAAATATAAAAAAAATTCTACAATTAACTACAGAGTACAGACGTATGGGAACATGTTGAGAATATAAAAAATTAATCTTATCATCATTAATCTTGTTTAATAATAGTTTCATTTTCTCATTATTCTGGTTTCTCATTATTTACTAAGATTCGCGGATTTTCTAGAATTATTATTGAAAAGACGACATTTGAATAATTTGAAGAAATCTGCGAATAAATTCAAAGAAGATAAGAAACTCAATAAAATAATAACAACAAAAAAATCGATTTTAGCATTGATTTATTGATAAATTTCTTTTGAGGAATATGTTCCTAACCATCTAATTAGATTACTGTATAATTTTTACTTTATTTTTCGTTGTCGTTATTTAACAATTAAAAAAAACTAATTCTGAAAACGTATCCACCCCGAAAGTAGGAGTTTTGAACGTCGAATTTGCGCTCAAACTCAGGATTTACAGATCTTTAAAAAGTTTAATATGTCTCAAATGAATCCGAAAGAATTTTTCCACAACACTGCATACTCAGTTCAACTACCTTACATAGCCGGTCACTCCCTTTAAGAACTCTTACAAAGAAGCAAATACAGTTAAATTTTGTATTTAACTGTATAAAATCTAAGGTATCTAAAGTAAAAAATTAATATCTACTATGATACTATAGTTGCATAATTAATACAACTTCTGAATTTAAAATGTTTGCCATTACGAAATACCGAAAAACTGATGTTTTGTTTTCTTGCTTTTACTTTGGAATGTTCAATGTCAAATTAATCACAACTGTTTCATAGATGGATGGAAGAGAGTTTCTGACTGAATTTCAGATCGATAAATTCAGATATTTCTTCTATCATGTACTAGATCTTAATAATGATCATGTTATCTCTGAAGAGGATTTTTTAAAGCTCAACGATAGGATAAGGCACTATATGGATTGGTCAGTAAATACCATTCAATTTTTAGCACTGAAAGAAGTTCATAATATATTTCAGGTAATTTTTCCTAGAAAACGGCCTAAATAAAGCATAAAAATATACTTACAATTATATAAGTAAAAGATAAATAAGTTGAGATGAAGTAAGATAATTTGGACTTACAATGGGTAGGAATGCTTTCTGTACACAGCTGCGGAGATTGAACGCAGTAAAACTAAACCTGAACACTGGGACCCGTTCTCCAAACCAGCAGAAATAGAGGCAAAGTGCTGTGTGGCATTAGGTACACAGGGAAATACATTTTTAACAGTACCAAGGTCTTTTTGCGATAGCTACTGCGCCTGCGCGGGCTGCAACATGGTTTTCAGATACGTATATCTAAATCATCTGATCGCAAATCTGGCCGGTGTGGCGTTATTTCTGAGTTAACGTTAAATAATGGTAGTTCATTCTACGCAGCAAATTTTCCGCGGCATCCCGCATATTTTCGCAGTTTGCGGCAGTGCGCACAACAATAATCTGGTATTTTATCTGAAATTTTAAAGTTAGAAATTATATTTATGAGCTTAAAATCTACACTATATGCTGATATATATATATATAATGTGAGAACAGAAGTAATTAACTTTACATTAAACTCTCATTAGTTGCAAGTATCAGAATCATTTAACAATTAACTTACATAAACTAAGCTGTCATATCAATCCCTAATGTTAAAACAATTGATTTTTATTTTTTACTGTCTATCGCTCAGATTCTCAAATATGAGAAGTACTTTTACTTAATGTACTGTTTATATTCGCAGAATTGTGCGCGAATGCTTCGGAAAATTTGCTGTGTAGAGTCTACTAACATTACTTAACGTTTACCCAGAAATAACGCACCACCGGTGTGGCTTTATTTCTGGGTAAACGTTAAATAATGGTAGTAGATTCTACGCGGCAAATTTTCCGCAGCATCCGTGGATATTTTTGCAGTTCACAGCAATGCGCACAACAGAAATCTGGTATTTTGTCTGAAATTTCAAAATAAGAAATTATATTTATACACTTAAAATATACACTATATGCTTATATAATGTGAGAACAGAAGTAATTAACTATAACTATAACCAGTTTCCCTAGCCCCAAACATTTAATAATACTGGAGCACCAGCAGCCTGACTTCATGCGAGGGAGGGAACCCCCAGACGCCATGAGCCTCCGCTATGCAGACACGAGCCTCCCAGAGTTGCTAGGCAGACCAAGCCCCTACTTTGCAGAAATGAGCATGTGCAACACATCCAAATGTGCCTGTGTAATACAGGAGGTTTTTTTTAACTTGTGTTTTAAGTTCAAATAAAAGATTTTTTTTATAATTTTTAGACAAAGTGGCATGAGAGGCTTCTCAAAGATGAGAAGTATTTATTAATTATCATAAATAGTGCCTAATTATGACTAATAAAGTGGTTTCTAAAACTTTAAATATTTTTTACACGTAAAGGAAAATATTTAGAAAAAAAATTTAATTGAATTTCATTTCATCTTTTATAATCTTTGATTTTAGCGATACATTTTTTGAAGTTCAAATTAAAACTTAAAAATTTGTATTTATTATTTAAATCTAAACATTTTTCAAAAAAAGGTATTGTTTAAATCAAAGATTACAACAAAACAAACAAAGTTTACCAGAAATATTTCTCCAAATATCTTCCTTTCTGCGTAAGAAATGTTTAAAGTTTTAATATAAATCTTATAAACCACTTTATGAGTCCATATATGTTTCTAATCATGACAATCAATGAACAACTCTAATCTTTAGTAAAATTCTTATGCCACTACGTCAAAAAAAATTGTTAAAAGTTTTCATCACTCATAAAAACCGAGATTTAAAAAAAGCTGTGCTGTTTGGTGGAGGCTCGTTTACTGCATAGCGGAGGCACGGTCTGCATAGTGGAGGCTCAGTCTGCATAGCAAATCTGGGAGGCTTGATGTCTGCATAGCAGAGGCTCATGGCCTCCGTGGGTTCCCTCCCTATTCATGCTATACTGGCCAAAGTAAGACTGAGCTGAAAACTGTTGAATTGAATACCCTTATTACCTATCGCTTAATCTGAATATCCAAATATCTCTACTGGATTCCCACCAAAGAAAGTTCTTTCATAAAATGGTGCGCAACCTTTCTTAATTCCAAACAGTTTCTGATTATTGATAGGGATTCTGTATACACCACTCTAATTGGTTGAAATTTAGAAACTTTCCTGGATACAAACTAAAAATTAAGATAATCTTAGGATTAACAAAAAGAGGAGATCAAGCATTGATCTTGATATTCATAATTCTAAAGTTTTCAGCTTAGGCTCCATAATGCTTACAAATGTTGTATTTATTAATCCTCGGGCGTTCTGAAGCGTACACACAGAAAATTTTGTTAAAGGGCTCTGTGTGACATCATAGTCTACATATATTTTGGCAAACAATGCATATAAGCTAAGACCGCCCTAAAGCATATTATTCTAAATTGGTCTTACGCCTATAATCTCTTTCTGCGACGTAATTTAAAAAATAATGCTGTTCTAACTAATTTAAACTCTATTCAACAGTTATTATTGAATTCTTCTTGCACTATCGATTTAATAAAGCTATAAAATGCCCGGTGTGTCCATGAAATAAAAACATCGAATTTTGAAAGAAAAAAGTTTCAATTTAAATTTTTTTTTAGCCTATTTAACCCCCGAAATACCCATGCGTTCACTAAAAAATGTTGACTAATTTGGTCCAGCTGTTTGGCCAGCTATAGATAACATGTAAATATATTTATTTATTTATTCATTCATTCAAATATATACATATATATAAATATAAGGATATAAATTTAGTTTTTTGATTGAATAATACATTGATTATATATATATATTTCAGTTTTTAAACTTCACATTTTATTAAAAAAAGAATTATACTAAACATAATGTTTCACGCCTCATGACGCTCATATATAAATGAGCAAAGAGCTTTATTATATTGAAGACTAGCTGAATTATAAAAATTTTAAAATTTCGAATTTTGAAAATTATGTTACCCTCAAAAAAGTCGGCCCATTCGGTTCTGCCGTTTTGCCAGCTATGGCTAACATACAAACAAATACATATGAGCGAAGAGCTTTATTAACTAAAGACATATATATAAATGTTAGTAATAGCTGGCCAAACGGCTCAACCAAAATGGCTGAATGTTAATGAGGCAACCTATGGGTACCCCGGGAGTGACAAAGGCTAAAAAATCAGCTAAAAACGTGTTTAAAACCAAGCACTAGTAAATGCCGTAAGTAACTCTGAAAAATAATATAAACCTGGCCAACACCGGCACTCAAGCTAGTTTTCATAACACGAAAAATCTAAAAATGTTATTTAGAAGAATGGTTGGATGTTTGGGGAAACTTAGTATCAAAAGCAAGAAACATTCATGACTTACCAATGTGGCTACAGTACTATCCTAAGGAAACTAAGTTGTATATTCTACAATGACTACTTTGGCTATTTTTTTCTACCCTAAAATATTGAAGATAAAAAAATTATGTAGAGTTAAAGAAAAACAGAAAGACGTTCTTAACCCAATTTATCGTATGTTCATTTAAAAAAATACAAAATGGTTACACTTCAATTATGGTTACACAACACCTTTATTGCAAATTATTATTTATCATTCAAACCATACACCATTAATACAAAAATGTGTAAAAAGTATATTTGTATAAAAAGTATAAAAGAATTATAAATATGCATATGCAAGATTTTACATATTACCTATTCATCATTGCTGCAATTTATCAAAATATTCTCCTAGAGTATGCTGGGAGTACAGATTTTCATAGATTTCTTGAAAGTGATATGCAATATTCTGGGCCCCAACTTCTCCATTTCTACAAGTTGAAATTTATTGTGCTTTGACTACAGAATTTCTTAATTTCTTTGAATATATCACCTCCTCCATTGAGCAATTTTTGTGCAAATTTATCTTGACTTTTGGCTCTCTTTAATCTTCTTATAGAATATTTTCATTGCAAGTGAGCATTTCGCTGCAAAATAAACTTTTCTCCCTCTCTTGGCCTCCCAGCTGCTTGCCAAACATCAAACCAAATCAGAACTTACTTTTGGCCTGATATGGTTTTACATATTCATTCCAACCTAAGATCACTTTTAATTTTTCATTTGCCACTCCTCCTGATTTTGGTAGACACAACTTTGCTGCATTATCTATAGCTTAAAATATTCCTGTTGCATATTCATCAATACTGGCATCATAATTCTGACAATGAAAAGTCTAGCAAAGGTTACATTCCTGTAGTTGAGTCTATAATATTAGGTCTTATATCTAGATTATCTCTATAATTTACTTGCTGCTAGCTCTAAAGACGCTAGGTTTTGGTGTACTGGTTAACCTCTCTACTTCCAAATTAAGCTGATCCATATCAAGTTTACAGAAAATAGGAAGATGCCCAGACATATTATCTGGATGAATTATCATACCAGCTTTGGTAACTGAACTATAAAATCTTTCATTACTGAGGAAATGATCAATAGTGGAAGTGTGAGTTATATTGATCATTGTATTTCAGTATGTTGTGTAGCTTACTTCTCCAATTCAATCATTATCTGACAGATTCCAGAAAATGTTTAAGCCTTCCTTCTCTTCAAATGTTCAAATACTTTGCACAAATTGTGTAGGTCTAGAAAAGTCACAATTTATGTTCAAGACTAGTAGGACGTTCTTAAATTCTGTTGTAGACAATATTCTGTCTATTTCACCCAGGAGAGATAGCAATTCCAGATCATTCATGTTATTATTTTGGGAATCCACCATAAAGTATAAATTTAATACCAACAATTCAGCATTGGGAAAGTTAAATTTTGTAGCTTGGATCCTGAAGATATCACACTTAATTTTACTCACATATTTTGTGAGTCCTTTCTTCCACATTGTAGCTAGACCCCCTTTACCCCGTCCAGGCTTGACCACTGTATCCTCTTTGAATGCAGGCACAATATACATATCATGAGTTTCTCCAAATATTTCTTTAGTTTGTAAGTATTGCTGTGTTTTTTTTTTCGGTCCCCAGAATCCAAGAGGAAGTGTTCTTGAATGCATAAAATGTCTGAAAACAAAGATAGCAAACTTATAATGTTCTGTTTATCAATTCCCATACCCCCCACTGTTGTAGCTAGTTCAGCACTAAGTACAAGCTGAATCCATCATTGTTCTGCTGTTGCACCACCAGTAGCACTATTCTTCTCTACACTTGTGGTTCCATTTCTATCAGAATCTGATACAGTTGTGGTTCCATTTCTATCAGAATACTGCTTCCGATAATGGATAAATACAATGACACGAACTCGCAAGGGCCATACAGTGGGATCCAAGGCTTTCTCAAGATCTTCAGCCGGAACTGAGATTTTAAAGCTAATAACATTTGTTGTTTCATTTGGTTTAGACATCTGCACAATATCGACAATTGTTATCATCAGCTTCATCTAAGTCATCCACAATTAGTGGATGTTAAGTGGTACCTTTAGGACTAACATAACAGAAAATGTCAGCCGGAGGGGATTTAATTTTTCTAATTTTCTCTTGAGTTCTTGTACCAGAGACAACTGGCTTCCCTACATTCCTTCTTTTGTTTTGAGAGTTGATTCCATCATTTAATCCTCTCATTACACTGGGAGATCTTTCTCTACCTATTCCTGCTCTAAGGGGGACTTTGAAATTCTTTGGTCTTGCCCCTATCCCACTGTAATCATCTTTACCTCTAGTTACCGCACTGTAAGATTTTGCAGCAAAACTTGGTTCAGGATTGACATTGACCTTATCCCAGATACATTGCAATAACTCCATCTTCTTCTCCATTGGTTACATCCTTTCATCCATCATGGTATTTGAGGTGTCCTGAAATGCGTTGACACTAAATTCACTATTTGTCCAAAACTTGGGTATTTGGAAATTGAAAGGTATCACAACATTTCCATGCCAAGCTCAATTTTCGATATCTTTTCCCGGAGATCTAGAAAAATGGAATATATCTTTCGTTTTTCATGGATATTTCCCTCTGTATCCTGCAGTTGAAAAGCTTGATAACAATTTGATCTAGCTGTTCCAGGGAGTGTATCCAAAACACAGGTTTTATCAGCAACTCTATCAAAAGCATAAAACATTGATCCTAAAATTCCATCAACTAGAATAATTTTCCCAGATCTTGTATCTTTTTAAAGAAAAAGCCTTGATTACTGGCTTGTTCCTTTACAATGGTCTCACTATCCATTTCGTCCAGGGAAGTAGCTAAAGAATTATCCAAGGATTTTTTTGGTTTTGGCCCCATTTTTGCCACAAGATTGGCGAAAGCCAGATTATATCTAGAATCTTCCAGATTTCTATGAATGTACTTTAAATTGTGTGTAAGCCTTGAATTGAGAAAGCAGTGTGTAAACTGCCTAAAACACTCTTACACTCATCAATTATTCCTTTAAAAACCGTTTAGAATTTATTCTTACTTACAATTTTTTAATACAAATTTTAAACATTTTGCTTTCTATTATAGAAATAGCTTAACCTATACTTTCATAGTTAAAATGCCCATATAAACAACTTAGTTCTTCAGATATTGTTTGACACAATAAACAGAAGTGGTTCAGGAGTAATCTCTAAAAACGAGCTTCGGTTGTTCTACACAGCTTTCCTGGACGTAGGAAAACTAGGGGAAAAGAAAATAAGGAAAATTTCAGACTTACTATGTTATTTTGTACTTTTTTATTTCTTTTTGCTGCAGCTAATTACTGGAAGTAAAAAAAAATTCAAAAAATTTTAAGTTTGTCTCTTTATAAAATTACAAACAGTAAAAATCTGCCAAGTTTATCTTGCCTTCCGTTAGGATTTGTTCCAAGTCAAAACAATAATGCCATTTTTATATCTAATCTAGTTGTTAAAGGGACTGTTAAATTAAAGGGGATATGGGCTGAAACCTAGAAAACCTAGATCTACAGGGTGTCCCACGAAACATGACATTTAATAAACAGTTATTTTTAGTTAACCAAATCTTTTGCTTGATTATATTTTACTTTGAAATCAATTTTATTATAACATGACTCCCATATAAGATATTTATTGCTCTTTGGTATCAAACAACTGAGCAAATAATGGAAAAAGACATTCTAAACTATTCACCAACTGTCATGTTTCGTGGGACACCCTGTATCAAGTAATACAGACGGAGACACGGGATAATGCTACTACACTGCTATTGGTGGAAATTCTTGTCACGTGATACAGACGTATTATTTATTTATCAACTATATCTATTAAAATAAATAAGTAATATGTTTAATTATTGGAGCTTACCTAAGCTGTTTAGGCTCCTCTGGGTTATCGTAACTTTTAAATTTGTTGCGTATTTGCTCAATATGATCTGTTAAAACTTCATTCTTAAACCACATCTCCCATATATGAGTTTTGGTTTAACGTTGACACAGTTTTATATCAATTTCACGAGACAGGAACATCAGATAGAACTCATATATGTTGCGATCCACTCTTAAAGTTTTTAGGTTTCAGCCTATACCCCTTTTCATTTTTCCTGAACAATCCCTTTTTAAGCAATGCATTAGGCAGCAAAGTAAAGAAATATTACTGATTCAAATCACATCAAAACCACATGTTCTCTTTTGTAAAAAGAAATTCCTAAATTATTTTTTTAATTAAAAGGAGTTCTCTATTTTATAACAGTTCAATGCTTGCTGGTTTTAGCAAAGAATTTTTTCTTAGAAATTTTAATGTATAATTTATCAGCTTCGTAACTGTGCCCCTTTTGATAATATAATCTCAAAATTCACAATTTTGCACAAAATGTTTCTGATAGAGCTTAAAATACCTTTAGCATGGTTTATTTTTTGGTTATTTAAAGGGTTTTTACATTATTGCTTGCAATAGTTTTTTTTCCGACAAACCTAGAGAGAGATCAAAGGAATGTTTATTGTAAAACAATGGACAAATTTCTGAAACAAAATGTTAATTTTTAGGACCAAAATTGTCATATTTGCCAATCGATTTCTTTTCTGTCTTTAAAATTTTCCTGTTCTAAACCTTTGAATTGCACAGAGCTGGGAACTCTTGTATTGCTGTTATCGAGATCGACGACAAACTGATTAAATACTCATAGGTGGATGACGACATTTTATGTCCCAAGTATTTAAAAATAATATCTAAACATATACAGGGTGCCCCACATCATATTAAATCGTCTAATATAAAAATTTTCTTGTTGAAAATACCAGGTTATTCGAGGATTATGTGAGTATTTTGCAAAGATAATATATATATAGATACGCAGGGATAGTACAATTTTGAGCTCTCGAGAAAAAGTGAAATCAGCACCATCTCTGTCGTACGCAAGGCATTTTATCCTCTGGATTGTTGCTAATTTATCACTTTGTTCATGCGTAATAACAACAAACGCATACTACAGTATCAACAATGTATACTGCATATTGTACTTAATGAAACAAGTTAATCAATGCAAATAAAACTGAGGTAGGAATTTGACTAGACAAAGTTTAAATGTGCAAGTTGTACTGAATGGCATACGTAAATTAATGCAATTTAAATAAAAATTATGACTAAAAAGTACATCGAATCTAGGACAAAGTCCTAATAGCGGACAGGATCCGGTCGAACAATACATCCCATTCAACACTACTATGGTCGGTTGCTCCTGGCTCTTTATGGCTCAAACTAGCTCATCACCCCCTTCACCCCAAAAACTCAAAAAAAACTCCATTACTTTCCTAAAATGATCATCCTAGGTTTGGTGCGCTCAAAACTTCAATTGGATTGGTAAATAAAAAAGAAATGAGCCAGTCCATTATCCCCTTTGATAGCCTTGTTTAATTTTTTTTAAATAATTCAAATGTGCCATGAAATATCCCAAATAAGTAAACAGTCCCTTTAAACCTCTGTTTTTGAAACTTTCCAAATTCATAGGAAATTCTGAAAACAAATGCAGGAAGGAACTGTTAATCTTTTCTTTGTTATTATGCAATAAAGTTACCCCCCTCCCCCTGACATTTTTGGAGACTTTTTTAGTTTTCTAACACATACCCATCACTTTTGGCTCAAAGTGGGGATTTTATACCTGTTGCCTGAGTCCTCAGGCATATTGCCTGAATGCCTTAGCTTACCTTTACCCGACTAAATCTATATTTAGACCTACCTCCGGTCATTGGATTCTGACTTCTTACAATTCTTTGGAAAGCCTTGGTACCAATTACAAAATCTAATTTTTATTTAAATATCTCATAAAAACTGTTTGATTAAATAGATATCACTTATTTAACAAATATAAAATAATTTCCAAAGGTTTGTCAATTTTTCTGTTTGCTTACTATATCTTTACTAAGTACAACTGAGCATAACAGAAACAAAACGCGTACTGTATGTTTGTGTTACCTTGAAATTTAATTTTTTTGGTCAAACAGGTCCAGATAGCAACACTTGAACTATACAGGATGCAATACGCGTACTGTATGTTTATATCACACAATTGCGTCTTTCCTTCAGATGGCAGCAGCAGGGGGAGAAAGGAGTATAGAAAGTAATCAATTTGCTATAGATGTCTCTCGTTTCACTTTATCTCAGAGGTACAAAAATTAGTTGTCTGCTACAAGCAATTTAGGAAGGAGGTTTCTACCTGCCAGCGTATCTATTGTAACCATCCCCAACCCTCTCCCCCTGCTCCAGCCGCCTTATCAAGATACTCTAGCTTTCCAAACACGATAAGGATGTGTTGATAAGACAGGATCACAGGATATAAAAGGAGACCTAACAAAGAATAAGTTTAGTTGTGCCCCAGCTCTCACAAGGAGAGGATGAAGACATTTGCCAACTCCCCACAGTGGTAAGAAGTCCAAAGGGGGGGGGGTAACAATATTCTAGTAACCTTCAAGTCACACACCAATAATAGAACAAAGTAGTTGAACATCTATATTAAAGAGAAATAAAATAAAGGAATAAATAACTAAAGTCAAGAGACACAGATTTGGCACTCAGTGATGGGATTCTCCTTTGGCCGGATACTCCTTGGCTGGATACTCCTTGGCTAGATACTCCTTGGCTAGATACTCCTTGGCTAGATACCGTCAACATGGTATCTCCTCAGGCAACATATCTCTTCAGGCAACATATCTCCTCAGGGCTCATATCCCCTCAGGCAACATATCTCTTCTGGCACCATCTTTGTTCTGGTAACAAATCTCCTTCAGCATGTTGTTTTCCCACAGCTCCAATCCGTCCAAGCAGTTTCTATTCCTTTGGACTGACTGCTCCTTACCACTGTGGGGAGTTGGCGAATGTCTTCATCCTCTCCTTGTGAGAGCTGGCGCACAACTAAACTTATTCTTTGTTAGGTCTCCTTTTATATCCTGTGATCCTGTCTTATCAACACATCCTTATCGTGTTTGGAAAGCTAGAGTATCTAGATAAGGCGGCTTTTGGTATTTTGGCGTTAAAGCTTTGAGATAATTCAATATGATATAAGACACTCTGTATATAAATTGGTCTGTACGGAGTGCACAGTACAACAGAAATTGGACTCACTTTATTTACAAACACAGACTTAGAAATGACAGAAAATCTAACTCCTTATCATTAAAAGGGGGGGGGGAGATTAAAAGAACCGAATGTAAAACTTAAAGAAATTGTCGCTAAATGTGATAATATTTTTGACCAGGTTCTTGGGAAAGGACTTAGTGATCTAAAAAATCCCCTGAAAAAGTTTTAAAAAACTGAAATTTTGAATCAAATCCTGACTTCCCTCCTCAAATAGTCACTCTATTTTGTAAAGTAAAATTTTACTCGAGAATTAAAATTTTAAATGTAAATCTAAAACTAAGTGGAATTAAAAAATCTGTTAGAAGTCTTAAACAAATGGGCCAATTTTTAAATTGAAATTTATATATTGGTCTTCACTTTTGTATTTTGACAGATAAAAGAGTGGTGGAGAACTAAACACAGTTTTTTCCCAGGAAGGGCTTACATTTCATTTTCTTTTTAGGGGGGGTGGGAGGCCAAAACCCCCCAAAAAGCATATATTTCACTGATCTAGATGGGAGATGAGCCCCCATAGCACCCCAGGAAAATACGCCTCTGTAATAGCGGGGCTACGACATCTCCTCTTATTCCATTTGCTCTATGGCCATTTGCTCTATTTCCATTTGCTCTATTAACCATTTACTCTATAACTCATATATCACGACGTTTGCTCTATACGTCAATCGATCTATGACATAACACGTCATTTGCATAATAAACATTTTATGACTGTGATGGTTCTAAGATATTTACAAACATATTTCGGAATGAAGAGAGATTTCAAAGAACAAAAATATTCAGTATTAAAGATAAATTCTATAGAATTAGAAGTGCCAGGCAAAATCAATGAATTGATTAAGCGACTATATAGTATTTACATATAAAATACATACAAACATACACAAATTTTTGATTTTTAATTATGAAAATTTCAAAGTTATAACTGAAGACGACATTTACATGGGTCTTTAGTCTATTTTTTCAAGTCTTTTCTTTCCAAAAAAAATCTTTTCATGCAATTAGTTCCAAACCAAAAAAAAAAACCTCATGGCCCAACCTGTCGTTGTGGCCTTAGTCTGTTCCATTTCGGATCACGTAGGATCTCCATCTTTTGTTAATCTACAGAATAATTTAATCTTTATTTTATATCCCGCACGGTAATTCATACCCTGCACGGATAACGTAGAGATTATATATTGATCCTCAAAGTGTCCACAATGGATATCGAGATCATGCAATCAGAATCAAGGGTTATAACCAACACAAAAGTTCCCAGCTAAGGTCAATTTAAGTATAAATAAATCAGGGTTTGTTTATATTCTCCCAACCCCACATTAATTTTATTAATAAAATCAATAATAATAATAATTTAAGATAAATAACCTTTGCCTTATTTAAACTCACTTACAAATTTGAACAGTTAGTCAAGACTGAAATTTACAGGTGTATAACGGACAAAGCATACACTGCTATGACATCAAACGGAGATGTGAAATTAACTTTTCACATTTATAAACTCAGTTTTCTTAATTTTCTTCTTGGAAGACAACCAAACGGTCCTGGACAATTTATTTTTGGATCTGTGCCATCAACTTCAGGGAGAGCAATATTCACAGTCGACTACAGCGCCCTCAACACAAGAGACGAAGAAAGGGAAACATTCTCACAGCTAAAACTAGAACACAAGGGTTCCAGGAAGTCAATAGTTGTATGATCATATTAATTAATATTTATGAATTATCATTATCAATTATCAATTTTACATTTTCCACTTTAATCGTTCTCTGATCTTTACTTTTTGCTTATTCATTACCATTATATGCATAATCATTATTATTCCAAGAATGAAAAAATGTGTCATGGTAGTTTATGATAAGGTGTACACCTGAAAACAATTCATATTGCAAAAATAAACAAACACTCGGAAGTTGGTTAGTTTACTATACACAATCATTTCAAAACTTCTGACTACTGATACTTATTGTCCTTTAATATTATGTTTGCCGCAGAAGTGGAGCAAAGATCGACCCTTTCCGGCTCAACATATCTTTTTAATATATATGACTTGTCCGTCTGTTAGGGTGTTTGTATCTGTTAACCGTCAAAACAGGTGAACCAATTGGGCTTATATTTTCTGTTGTAACTAACAAGATATATACGGGAAGGTTTAAAGACGGTGCAGTGCAGATGGAGTTTCATATATGGTAGGAATGCAACCTTGTGTACTGTATAAGTGGGAATATTTCCGGGGTATTGTGAAAACAATTGACTTTATAAAGCCAGTTGTAAACAAGCCACGCATTTGTATTTTGATTAGAAGTACAGTACGAATAGTTTCCCAATGTACAAAATAGCAGGACATTCTATAACGCATTTTCTGATTTTGTGTTCAATCTGAAGTAATTTCATTAATGCTTTTACTGTAAACTATTTCAAACGTTTTTAAACTTTAAAAACATGGCAGGGTGTAAATAAGGGAGTTATTAGGGCTAGTACCCTAACCCACTGCCCTTGCCCCCCTATAGATTCTTTAGGTTGATTATCTCCACATAGAACCTTAATTCCATGCAAACATTTCCCTTGATTGACAAGATCAAATCTTACGTGAATTAAGGAAAAGCAATAGCACATTTTTTTTGGTGCATCTTGCATCGTTGCTAAATTTTTAATGTTTTTTTTCCTCTAAATGAAACCAATTGCTTCGAAAGAATTAGTTTAAATATTTTCTTATGAAAATATATTGATGTATAGTAGATGCAATTATATATGTGTAGACCATGTAGATCTTGAAACTTTTTTTCAATAGATGTCGACATAAAAGAAAAACTACGCTCAAAGCCCAAATCAAACCCAACCTCCGTCAATAGAATCTAAATCCGTGGAAAGTGAACACATGTTTTATATAAGGAATGCTTAAAATTCGTCATTATTGCTGCAAACAATAATTTTGTATTTAACCAGGTATTTATTTTTTAGAAGTCACAAAACGTTTTATTCTCCTGATCCTATCGACCCCTCATTTTCCCCTACCTACTTAATAATAATAAGTTTTGTTTATCAAATATTATAATGATTAATATCAACATTTTGTAATTGTTTACTAAACTGTATTTGTATATTTGAAATACAGATTTTTTTTTTTGCCACCATGGCAGTATAGTAGAAAGAGGGAATATCAACCTGCTTTCGAGCAAATATCGACCCTTTACTGGGATTATCAACCATAAACAACCCTAGAGGCCCGTTTGTTCTTCTACATTATGAGGTATGTTCAATAACTTCTAGTCCTAGTTAAAAAAGTTCACTATATTTATTCTGGTTAATTTCTTTGACCAGCTATTGTTTATATCAGATGTTATATTGGACGCCAATATCTTTCTCCCAGATCCTGTTTATGTTGCTTGTAACAGCCTAATTATCTCATCTGTAGATTTAACCTTTATACATTTAAGCGGGTTCTGGAGATTTGATTATCTCAAAAAGTCAAAGGAGGGTAAGCTTTTATTGTAGGAAGAGCCCTTGAGGTTTTTTTAGTAACAAATAATATTTTTTTCCAGGACCTCTGTGGACTGTTTTGGAGGTCTTCGTGTTTTTTTTTTCAAACTCAGACATTTCCTTGTTCTGCAAACTTTCTCCATCACACTTCTCTTTTTAACACACTTTGTAGACTGTTGCCTTGTCCACATCATTCTTCTCTATATAATGCATTCTGGATCATTTCAAAGGTGTCTGTTTTGTATTTGGAAAGTTTAAGGCCCAAATACTTTGTGTATTGAGTATTCCATGGGTCCTCTTTTCCTAATTTGTATTTAAAATCTTATTTTGCTGTGACAGGAATTAAACAACCTCACATAAACATATACAATCTGATGTATTTACTATCCAGGATAAATAAATTATTGTTATTGTTTTCTGTGTCATCTTTTTGTTTGGGGCATGTTTTGAGCATTATCTAAAAAATTAGGGACATTTATAAAACATTTGAATGAAAGTTTTTGAGTGTAATTAAAAATTACTGTGGGGTGGGGGCATATTTTTTTCAAATTTCTAGAAAATTCGCTATTTTTGGAACTATATGAACCCTTGTTAAGAACTTCTCCCCCCCCCCCCCTACAGGGGTCAAGCCTTAATCAGGCTAGTAGGTGGCCTTGATATGACACCAAAGAGAAAATATCTCATCACGATGGTTCCATTTGTCGTCTTTTTCAGAGAATTTATCAATTCAGAAACATCATAAAGATGAAAAATAAGAAAGGGAATATTTGGGACTATATTTAAACATGGCTAGAATTAAAAAGAAGAAAAAACCTAGTTAATAAAATTGTTTATTTTTATTGGTCTGATAAGGGGATATTTGTCAGGACGGAGTTGTTAATACAGTGATAACCAGAAAACTCCTAAATAGGAAGACGGCTTTATAAAAACTTAAGTGTATTTGATGACGTGTATTTGCTTACACTGCACAATTGCTGTGTCCCATTCTCAAAGGACTATTTGCAATCATAACTGGAGTCTAAAAGTCGGCTTCCTATTTCAGAGTTTTCTGGTTATTACTGTAATAGAACTGATGGAAATAATAAATTTTTAATATAAAATGTGGATCATAAAGGAATTGAGTTTTTGCCACAACCTCAAATTTTTGAATCACTATTTCTTTGCAACCTGATGGTGTAAAATTTTGATATTTCAAACTTAGATTAATTGATATAACAAAATTCATAGTTTGAAATATCTAAGGTCTATACGACATTGGATTGCAGAGATATAGAAATTAAAAAAACAGGTATGTGACAAGAACTCAGTTCCTTTTTGGCTTATGTTACTTAATTTTGAAAAATTTAACTTGCAACTGCAATTCTGCCCAAACTCTTCCGCCTTCATTGCCAGAGCTCTAGAATCCTTAATAACTTCCTGAAGGAGATGGGAACAAATCTCGGCAGGCAACCTGTGTAAAACATGACCAGAGAGAAAGACTCCAGGCTTATGAATTTAAGAAGCAGATGCAACATCTTATTCAAATCATGAGATGGGAATGCGTCTTCCATCCGTCGTTTATTATCTTGTAAAGACGTCTCTTAATATTATTATTTATCCAAAAAAAAACCACCAAGAAAAATTCTCTTCACAGGACGTCCTGTGAGCATCTCAAAAAAGCATATCTAGGACGTCTTGAGACGCCCTGGCTTGTTGTTCACAAGTTGGGGCGTACACACAGGGTTGACCCCAAAATAAAAAAAAAACTTTATAGGAGGGTAAAAATTACCCCTCCCAAAAATTTAAATTCATATTTCTTTATATTTCTTAATATTTTCCAGGGCATAAAATTATCTAAAACCCTATTGGTTGAAGGGGGCTCTTAAAGTATTTTTGCCAAAAATATATCTTTTTCTTGAGGGTTCTCATCAAAAAAGTCTCGAACCCTATTGAAAAAGAAAAGTTTTTGCTCAAATACTATATACCTCGCCTCCCTTTAACCAGTAAAGTAAAAGGAAACAAAGTAAAAAAAAATAATTATTTATGAAATATAACAAAAACATACAAAATTACTTTTATATTTTTTTAGAATTGGGGGGAAATATTCGCACAACTTCTATTTTTAAAGGTTATTAAATATCCTCTCATGAAACACTTTATTTTGCATGTTTTTTATATTTCAATAATAAATAATTTTTTAAAATTTTCCATTGGTTTCAACTCTGCAGTTCCCTAACCACCACCGGAGAAAAATTTAAATAATTAAACAAAAATTTTAAATTGCATTATCGTTAAATTGTTATTATTATTATTGGTATTCATTATCAATAGTTCAAACGTAGATTACAACTATGCCGATACATATGAAAGAGGGAACAGAGTAAAAGTCGTCTTTCAAAAACATTCTTAATAAAATCTACTCTTCCATCATACCGGAGGAGACAGGACAGATCGAGGAAACTTTGATATTTCTTGTCCTAGTGTTCCAGGATAAAGATTCAACACGGGAGGTTCCTGGGAGATGAATTGATTCTAAAGCAGGAGAAGAATACGGTTCAGAGCAGGTTCAGGATCAGGAAATCTGTCTTTCTTTCTCCGCAGCTACCACTGAGACGTTCTAAATAATTAAAAATGATTATTAAATTGTAAAGTAATTTAGTCTTTATTTTAAACATTTTAAAATAATTATCACTATCATTTTTATTATTATTATTATCATTATGATCATTATCTTTTATTACTCTTATTATTATTATTATACTTGATCTTATTTCGCAACACTATCATAAATTAAATTATACATCAAAGCCATGAGATAAAATGTTAACAAATTTTGATATATTTTTAGTATATTTTAAGTAACCCCAAACCAAACGACATTATACTTGTCATGAAGACCTCTCTGGACCCACCCAAACTTAAAAGTATTGGAAAAAAACGAAAAATAAGTAATACAACAAATCTTCTTTCTTAAGCGTAATTATAAGTGACCCTTCATGTAAAGAATGCCCGACCACATTCTTGTCGGATTTACTACGTAGCCTAAATCAGGAATAATTCTTATTATTCGCACCCATTTTGTGTAAAGGTGGTATAATATTATTATGCGAAAGTGTTATAATCAATATTATGTTTTTGAATATTTTATTGTCAAACTTTATTCGCCAATCAATTTCTTTACATTCTGTAGGGGGGGGGGGCACGCCCCCACTCTAAGGTGAAAGGAGGGGGCGCGCGGTATTAAAGTCCTCTTTGCTCCTGGGGCAATTTTAAATTTCAGTTTTGACTCCATTTCTACACTAAAAAAGGCTTTTTAGATTTTATTCGTCAATAAATTTCTCTACATTCTGTAGGGGGGGGGGGAGGCGCCCCCACTCTCAGGTGAAAGGAGGAGGCGCTCGCCCGACTGTCCACCCCTCCTTGTTACGCCTCTTTTAATGCCATGTTTTACCGTCAAATTGACAAAAACTGTTTCTGAATAATTTTTATAAATTAGTTAAAAATTGAAGCTGTTGAGGATTCAGAGCAGAGACAGTATATTTTACAGCTTAGAAAATCTTATCCATATGTGACAGCATATATTGAGGGAGGGGGGGGGGGGGAANGGGTAAGATTTTGGACCTTAAAAAGAGAGGGTCGGGCCCCGTCGTTTGGACGCCCACTACTCCCTCCACGACCCTATATGGGATTTACTCCTCAAATAATGATTTAAAATCGTTTAAAATGCAACTACAAATCGTTTATTAAGCGACTTTTTTATTTTTTGGAAAATTGAGGGACTTTGGGATGACTTATGACGTCCGTGATCCCGTTCAAGACCCTGCGGTTCTTGCTGGGATAATATTTTGTTCTTACAATATAGATTTGTGGGATATGTTTGTTTAAAAATAGAGTTCCTTTTATAATATAGATTTCAGAAAATAGTTTTAAATTTGGAAATGTTGTCATCGACATAGTTATATACTATCGACCTTAAAATCTTTAATAATCTTTAAAATTGTGCATATTTCTAACATTTAGGGTT